ATACTATGTTAAAAAATGTTTTAATAAATGGACAAGCTGTTTGAGCAAAGGTCTATACTCTTCAAAGGAATCTGACACCTTAGTGATTTTAAAAAGAAAAAACGTTCTTTGCTGCTATATACAGCATGTACACAGAAATCCATACCAAGCCTTTATTTTTGCACCCATCGTACTTACTTCCAGCTGTGAAAATGCTTTAAATTTTGCAAATATTCATGCTTTGGCACGTAAAAGAAATCAGTTACAAAAAATCTAAAATGTGTTCAGATTTTACATTACACCCAAAGGAGCGTTTTTTTAACGTTTTGTGTGCTTCCTTTATTTATTAAATATCAAGTTCTTCGGACCTAAACCATAAAATTCAATTCAACAGCAATATCGCAAAATAATTTTTAAAATGAACATATCTTTAGAATGTCTGATACAAAGTCTCGCGTGCTGGAGATACTTTTTTTCCCGGTACAATATTGTCATTGCTCGCTTTGAAATCGTTGAGTTTGTTAATCAAAAATTCGTTAATCAAAAATCCATTTTATATTCTTTTTGCAACCCGTTTTGGGAAAAATAGTCCTAACGTACAGATATCACGCAGAAACATCGTTAAATTGCATTCAATAGTGGTCAAAACGGAAATTTTCGTCGAAATACGATACCCGAAAATTTTTGCGATTAAAATGCGAAATTTCAAAAATGCATCGATTTTATTTATTTTAATGCAATTAATTCTTTAGAGTTGCAAAATATGAACTCGATAATAAAACAAATTTCAAATTCCAAATCCGGGCTTCCAGATGCCCATATTCAATGGAAGATTACATTATTCAAAATTTGATGGCTCTCAGTACCGTTGTTTTATCACAATGCGAGAAGCATACATACATTTTATGCAGATTCTTCATAATTTAATTTCTCTAAATATAACACGGGTTTAATATTTGGTGGCAGCAATTTGAAAAGTGAACCGAAATTTATAGTGAACCAACGCAAAATGCCAAAACGAAATGAATAGCCCTTCTGGGCTAACGTCCTTTGGGCTAAGAAATATTACGAAATCTAATTTTTTATAAGGTCTCTTCGGTTCTTATACTTATATTCAGGAATATTTTATACTCAATCTAAAAAATAAAAACAAAAATAGTAATAAATTTGACTTCCGTACGATAAAAATTAACTGAAATAATCAGTTTCAAAATTTGGGGTGTCTGACAGCATTTTTACTCTTCTTGAGGAGTAGTTTATTAAATAATTTGAATACTTATAATTTTCTCCTTAAAGATAATTCAGTGATATTCCTTTGTGATTTCTAATAATTAACTTACTTTGTTTAAAAATTCTGTTATAATTACTATGCCGAAGGAATTTTCATACAAGTAATTCATAAGTTTCTAGGGTCTAAAAATACGTTATGGATGTTCCCAAGAAGTTTTATTGTTTTTGAATCATAACGAGATAATGATAAAAAAATCATTAAATTAGAAATATTTAACATTTTTAGTTTATACAAATGATTGTAAGAGTTGGCTATGTGCTAATACTAAAATCTGTCGGGATTTCTTAAAACACGAGTTCTGTAAGGTTCTATGGAAAAAAAAAAAAAAAAAAAAAAACTCTTGAAGCAAAAATTCTATTAATCAACACTTTTGGGGATAATCTGCGTATTTAATTCTCATCTCTCTCACTATCAATACCAGGTATACAGCGGGGAAAAAAATGGGACAATTCTTATATCTCCCTTTTTACTGGGCCGATTCAAATTCAAATTGCGTTTTTCATGTCTAGGATATACAGGGTGTTTCATAGATCATGAGACAAACTTGGAGTGGTGGTGGAGCGTACTAAAACATGCATTTTTTTATAGGAATGTAGGGTCTAAAGTGATGGGTTAAGGCAGGAACGAGGAAAAAAAAAAAAAAGACACGAGAGGAAAATGTGTTGATGTACAAAATCAACGCAAAGTGCTTCTTTGTAGCAATACAGTATTCACAATAAATGTTCAAAATTGCGACCACCAGCAGTAATACATGCTTGGTAAAGTCGCAGAGGGAATTGACGAACATTTTGAAAAACGACAGGCATTTCGCGCACGCTTGCAGCTGCAATGGATAGTCGTGCAACGAGGTCCTCCGAGAGTCAACGGGAGTCTCGTAAATGATGCTCTTCAGATGGCCCCATAAAAATACTCCAAGCTGGATAAATCTGGCGAACGGAGTGGCCATCAAACGGGTCCACCACGGCCAATCCATCGGCCCGGAAATGTCCCATTTAAGTAATTTCGGACCCGCGCGTGGTTATGGGCTGGTGCACTATCATGCTGGAACCACATGCGATCACGAACGACAGCCGGAACATCCTGCAGCAATTCCGGTAGCACCTCTTGCAGAAAAATATAACATAAGCCTTGTACGTGCAGGTAAGAGGTATGGGCCTATGAGGTAGTCGTTAACAATACCTGCCCATACATTCACGGAGAAGCGGGTTTGGAATGCATGTGGACGTATGCCGTGTGGATTATGAGTTGCCCACATGTGCATGTTGTGGCTATTGAAGATGCTGTCCTATGAGAAAGTTGCCTCGTCCGTGAATAGCACATCCGATGGGAAATCCGCCAGCGCCGCACACTGCTGCAAGAACCAATGGCAGAAATGAACTCGAAGAGGGTAGTCTGTCTCTTGCAAGGCTTGGACTCTCTACAAATGCACCCATTTTCATGCAATACTCTCCAAACGGTGGAATGACTCAGCTCCAGACGACGTGCAATAGCTCTTCTACTTGTCTGAGTTGATTCATGGACAATGCTGAAGATGGATTCTTCAATGCGAGGTTGTCGTGCACTTCTTCTTCCACTCCTAGTGTCAGAAGTGGCTTCAAATGACCCGTTTTCACACAGAGACCGATGCAACCTCTCGAACATACATTGTGTGCTTCGGCATACGTCTGTTCGGAAACCGTTCCTGGTACAACCGTAGTGCTGCTCTACCGTTTCCTTTAGCAGCACCATGCATGAGATGCATGTCAGCTTTTTCCCTGTGCGTAAACTCACCCATCACGCTCGACATCAGATTTGCAAATGATCCTCTGATGCATCGGATCGTGGTTTGTCCGGCTCACTACCGCCCTCTACCGCTACATTGCCACCAATCACAGCTGTAGTTCCTATTACTGTTAGTGTTCCTTTTTTTTTTTTTTTTTTTTTTTTTTTTTTTTTTTTTTTTTAACATTTATTGTGAATACTGTATTGCTGCAAAGAAGCACTTTGCGTTGATTTTGTAAATAAACACATTTTCTTTTCGTGTCGGTTTTTTTTTTTTTTTTTTTTTTTTTTTTTTTTTTCGTTCCTGCCTTAAACCGTCACTTTAAACAACCCTACATTCCTATACAAAAAATGCATGTTTTAGTACGCTCCACCAACCCTTCAAGTTTGTCCCATGATCTATGAAACACCCTGTATATTATAACAATACATATAGCATTGTTGTTAATACATATAACATTGTTCTAAGTATTTTGACACAAAATCGGACTTTTTCTGAAATGGCATGCCAATGTTTTTCCATATTTCGATTCTACGACTCAAATTTTTCTTAGATATTAAAATTTGTAAATTTTGGTGAAAAAATTATGGAGAAATTAAATAATTTATCTTGACGATTTTTTTCTGTTTACGCCAAAAATAATTCACTTATCGAACTTCTTAATTTATAGCAAATTATTTTCCTTTCCTTTTTCTTCATGGTCCACCAGCGGAAAAAATGTCATCGTTCATACTTTCAAATAATTTTAGCAAAATGCGTAAACCACATTTTCCTTATTATCGCTTATAATAAATACGCCGAATTTCAAAACGCGCCAAAATGTAAATTCACGTATATTTTAGGAAATTTTGAATAAAAATCTCTAATTTTTTGCAGGTATGCTTAGAAATACATCTACTTTAAGATGATGGCAAAACTTTTATAGGTTATAAATCAAAATGTTTTTCGAAAAATTTATAAAAATTATTTAAAAATAACAACTGTATAAATAAATCATAAAAAATAGGCGAATTAAATTTCGAATAAACCTAAATTTCGAAATATGAAAGGAAGAATCAAATAAGTTTGATAAAAAAGAGATATTAATAAATATATATCAAATTCAATTAACATTGAGGAACTAAATTTTGAGAGATAATTTTTTAGAAACTACTCGGACGATTTTCACAAAACTTGCCAGTTTGTCATAATTTGAGTCGTAGAATCGAAGCATGGAAAAAAAAACTGGCATGTCATTTCAGAAAAAGTCCGATTTAGAACAATGCTATATATTATGCTAATACATATCCTAAGTCGCGCTTTGGAGACATGAAAAACGCAAGTTGAATTTCGTCAATCGGCCCACTAGAACGGGAAATATAGTCCTCCTTCTTTTATTTTCCGCAGTGTACCTTTTTCTAAACTAATATTTTACTTTTAGTTACATACAAAAGCAAACATTTATCTCTTCTATTTTATACGACCTTTGAATATGTTCTTCAACTTTAAAATGAAATATCTCGATCAATTTTTGTCGCTCAGAAGTCATGCTTTTTGTATTTTAGCTTTTATAATGAGTATTTATAGGGACCGGGGAAACGTATAAAAAGTTATATTTCGTTACGTTAGTTTGCAAAACTAGCTTTTTTTTTTTAAATTAAAAAAAATTCAAAACATGAATACTTGCATCATTAAAACATACTTTTTGTAGTTGGAAGTATGTTTTACAACCAACGGTCTCGCAAATAAAAGCCGGATAAAGATTTTGTGGAACCGATTATTAAGAGTTGGATCATGACAGTAACTTTCTTGTCTCATCTTACTACTAAATTTCGAATGTTTGTTCCTAAAGTCATTTCAGCCTTTTAAAGTAACTATTTTCATCAATTTGCGGCCTTAAAATGTAAAATAAAAGTTTCTGCCTCTAAACAGAAAAATAGCAGCTATGCATAGGATTTATGCTTTTCTAATTTTTTGTTTCGTTTGCAGGTGACGGTTTGGGGAAATTATGGTGGTATGGAAAAGAAGGTTTTTATGGGAGTGGCACAGATTGTTCTGGACGACATAGACTTGGCAAAAGGTGTAATTGCCTGGTATAAGTTGTTCCACCATTCCTCACTGGTCAGCAGCCTGGCTGCAAATGAACGCCGCTCTTTCCTCTCTCTAGACAATTTGAGTTGAAAGGAACTGCCCTCAGATGTCTCTCCGTGCACATTCTGCAGTGAAAGAAGAACAAAGAGTAAGAGAAACCCCCGCCCTTGTTGCCTTTTCCGGACGGTGCTGCCGTCGAGAATTCTTCGTATTTTTCGCTTTCGAAAAGAAGAACTCTCCTTCTTCTCGTTTTCTGCACTCGGTCGAGGGACTACTCTACGATCGCAACTTCGATCTCTTTCCTCTCCGAACTGTCATGTTTTTTCGACTTTCGTATTTTTCAATAAAAACAAATCATCCAAAAAGGTCTCAGAAATATCATTTTGAAATTGCCTCAGAACAAAGATATATTAAGCATGGTTTTCTTCACCTGACAAAGTAAAACTATTTTAAAATAATATTTCTAATTATGATATCAATTAAATGAAATGAACATATTTTTTTATATTTTAATGTATCCGCAGGGTAACCATAAGTGCGGCATCATAAGGTTTGATTTCCAATGATCTGGGGCCCACCAGCGGCCGAGCGGTAAAGTCGCTGAACACTGGTAGTTCCGTCCGAGGTTCGAATCCCGCGAACGGGCTAGCTGCATGGGTGTTTTCGTGGTTTTCCCCATGTGTAACGTGTATACGAGCCAGTTTCCCTTAGAAAGTCCTCCACGAAGGCATCCCTCCCCTTAGGCAGATAACCCTCGTGTGCTTTGCCGTAATTAAATACACCACACCACACCAATGATATGGGCACTGAGTGTGTACCCAGAGCCTAGATGATCGCAGTCAAGGGAATGGTGTGCAGCCACCACAAAACACAGATAACCTACTTGACAGTTTCACTTTAGAATAATTAAAATTTAGATTTACGCAGAGAAAATTTCATTGGCCAAGAGAAAAACGTTTCATCGAGTAAGTTTGAAGTATAAATTTTAAGAAACGGCAATATTCTTCAAACGTTACTTAACAGACGAGAGCATTTAAAGAAAAGTTTTCTTGAACTAATAGGAACTGTAATCAGGCCACAAGAAATGCCGTTTGAAAAATTATGCAGCTATTCTAACAAGGGAAGCTACCAGATTCTCAGCAATAATCGTGATCAAACATATGAACAAAACAACAGGTGCAAAATGTAGTATTTCTAAATCGCTCGCAACATCCCCCCACAACAAGGCCTTTAACGAAGAACACATGCCCGCAGTATTTGTAACCTTATAAAGTGATTCAGAACTCATGAGACAAATTCAAGGAGTGGCAGGGTGCACTGTAACAAACGCTTTTTGTGCAGGAATATTATAGGCCCAAGTGACGCATTACGACAAGTAATTCTTTACACAGCAGTGTTTTCAATATTTGCCCAAAACGGCGTCCACCATAGTAATAGTGCATGCTTGGCAGTGTTAACAGAGTGATTGGCTTGCGCTGTTACCAGTATAAGGCAGTAAATTACTTGCTGTTCGTCAGTATTACACCTCCAACTTAAGCTAGTTTTTTCTACGTCAGCAGGCAAGAAATGGATCGACTGAGGGTTGTATGACGTCCAAACTAGGTGAGTTCCTCTTCAATTTGTGGAAGAGAGACTGTACACAAGTACAAGAGCTGTTGCTTTTCGTTTATATATGAGTCCTACCGTTTAAACAGTATTAAATTAAAAACGATTACACCTATTCCATTTTCAGAAAACGCAAGCTTTCTGAAAATGGAAACGGAAGACTACCTTCAGCATGTGGGCTACTACAATGGTCTTTGAAGCTGAATGCATTGCATTCGGACTTCCCAGCTCGTGTGTTAATCATATATAAGTGATTTTTACTCACAAAGTTGTTTCCAATATGCGTATATAATTGTCATGTGTGTACAACGTCATTTCCACACGCTACACGTCTATGTGTGTTCGAAGAAGAATTATCTGTGAATATGTGGACTCGTATTATGAACGATTTCCTGTTTCACCTATATAATGTAACTCGATGGCAAATGTTATTGTATATTTTTCTGGAAAAGATTTTACCAGAATTTCTTCAAGATGTTTCTGTTGCACTCCATTTGGTTTCAACATGGTGGCACGCCAACCCATTTTGGCATTAATGGGCGCAGTTACTTGGATGCAGTAGTTTGAAAGCGATGGATTCGCCGTTGTGGTTTATTCCATTGGTGACCCGGATCGCCCAATTTATGGGTACATATGAAGATCCTTGTTTAGGAAAATGCAGTTGACTTTTTTAAAGACCAATAAGTATGTTATACAATTAGCCAAGTGACTTTGAATCCTCTTGTTGTGCTACAAATATTAATGATGAAAGTGACGTGGAAGTATTTTCAATACAACAGAAGACGTCATCCTAACTCATAATGATAAACACTTACAAGGAAGTTGTTTACTCTATCGTATTAACAAAAGCAGCAATTGCTCCAAAACACAAGATAACACCGAATAAACTGCCGCAAATTACCACTTCAAAGTGAAACGTATCCACCAGCTTTGCACATCAAATTCCAGAAGGTGCATCACTTGCGACTCATTGATAACAGACTGTCCCAAACATCAGATATATTATTGCATTTATCAGTGTATGGCTAAAAATATTGCAGGTATTTGGGCTACTTTATGCATCTTATTTTGGGGTTTGAAAATGACTGCAAAATCCCTACTTGATCACCCTTCAAAATCCGATAATATTTGCTGCAGGAAAGTCTGACAGCTTTTCTTATAAGCAGAAGAAAGTAAAATTTGTTTCATTACATTTTTAAACAAATTTTCAATACAACTGATTGATGTCTCTAATTCACTTGGCTATTAATATGTAAAATAATTTAACGTCTCTAAATATGATGTTCTGAATTTTCTTAAACAGAAGGAAACATCAGGGACTGTTTTGTTGTGTAAGTTCGTATATACAGGGTGTTTCAGAATGTCGGTTACACACTTTCAGGAGAGATAAAATACACCTAGATGATGGAAAACACACAGCAATGCATGATCGGAAACGCTTTCCTGGAGTGGTAATGACGACGCAAAACACAAGAAAGGAAGGACACAAACACTGTGAGAATAATGTTTATTATGCTTATAAATAAGAACAAAAATAGACGACCGTCATCAAAGAAGATGTTAGAAATTACAACCCGGACCGGTGACGCGGGAACCCTGCGTTATGCATCTTCCATTTTATGTCATCACTACCTCGCCAATAAAGCTTTTCCGACCATGCATTGATATGCGATTTTCCATCCTCTAGGTGTACTTACTCTGTAACCGATTTGCTGAAACACGCTGTATTTAGTTTCATTGTCATCTTTGGTAAAAAGAAGTTCTCGTTATTTTTTTAATTTAAATTCTTTATACAATAACAGTCTGTAATTTAAGAAATATAGTTTTATTCATGTGTTATATTATCAGCTAATAGTAGCTAATATTACCTAAGAATCTGCTTTGCTAAGGTAGTTAGCTAAAAATCTGTTTTGTAGTGTAAATTGATTCTCCGCTCCTATCATTAACAAACTTACAGAAGAATACAGTTCTTGACTTATATGTGAGTAAATATGCATGTTTTATATTTATATAAGGAATATATGGTCGTGCTTTCTTATCTGATTATTTTTAAACTGCGGTTTATTGCGCCCTTTTATCTAAAAAAAAGAAGTTCCACAATAAAAGTGAAGTGATAATGATTCACAGTACTGTCAAACATCGAAACTCAAACACGCGTACTATTGTACTGTTGTTTCCTTCAGTGATCATGAATGCATGCGCGCTCGTTATAAATCAAACCAATGAACCAAACAGAAGAGATAAAAATGGTTACTGTAAATTCTTAGTACATATGCATCATATTTGCACGTTTCTTAATTTGTACACTGCTTAACGGCTATAAAGCAGGGGTTCTCAACCGGTGATACGCGTACCACTGATAGTACGCAGGAGAAAAATAGGGGGTACGCAAAGAAACAAAGTATTTTTAACTATTATATTCAAAAATTAAAACCCCAACTTCCTGATTGAGTTTTTTTATCTAACACTCGTAAATTTATGCGATCAGAGCTTTGTTCCAGAATGGTGGTGGTAGTAGTACTTTGTAGTGGTGGTAGAAAGGTTTTCAATTTTTGTTTAGATGGTACGCGTTAATCAAAAAGTTGAGAACCGCTGCTATAAAGTATGCTGGCTGAAGGATTGAGACTGTCAAGAAATTATTTGACTCACTTGTCTTGGCAGCGAGCACACATTACTTCTCCACTAGATTTGCTCTGTTCTCTATCATTCACCCTATTCTCATTAGTGTGGCGTTAATCATATTACTCTTATTTTTTCGCTTTGTAGAAAAGAGAAAGAAAGAATGATATTTATTTATTCATACCTTGAAGTAGTAGAATAATATTGTATAGGATAGAAACTGAAGCAATATATATTTTATTTTATAGAACGGTATACAATACAGTGTACTGCGCAATTTAACATATATTTTGGCGTATAAACCACACGTATAATTGCAAACTACATATTTTAATTTTTAGATATATTCTAAATATAACGCTCACCCTTTTCTTAACAAACTTGAAATCTACAGGTACGATGCTCTTATCTTCTGAAGTCATTCATTCTAGGATTTTTCCCAGGTTTTCGAACAATGATATATTGAAGTGACAAACGATAAGGGAAACAATATGTGCATGGGGAAAATGCTTGAGGGAGTAAATAATTCTGCAAACCGTTTGGGTTGATTCAATGCAGACGTGCATAAAAATTTTATTCTATATTTTTGAGGGGAAAAAAAAAAAAAACTTCCGATCCAAATGAATTCGCAGAATTAGCAGTCAGATGTTTTGTCCTTCTCCAGTGATTTGAAGCCGTGATTGTGACTAAGGCTTTAGTAAATCACATTAGCTTTAGTTAAAATGCAGTGGATCTAATATTCCTTTCAGTAATAAATATGGCTCCTTCCAAACGAAACAAACGTAATGCTGATTTCAAATGTACAGACATTCTGTTTGCAAATGGAAATGGAAATTGTACTGCAGCAAGTATGTTTGGTGTTGGTGAAAGCATCCATATGCGATCAGAAGAAAACTGAAATCACAGTAGTTAATATACCAAAAAATAAATGTGATTTGCATAAAGGAGTAATGAAATGGTCTATCCTAGAAGAACCTGTTGCAAACTGTGCCTTAGAAAATCGCCAAAATGGATTAATTGGTTCAAGAATCAGAGTACGCTTTAGGGCAACTAAAAGGAACAAAACGAATGCAAATGAAAGTAAAAACTTAAAGGCAACCCTTAGTTGGTGTAGTCGATTTATGGCGCGGAATAATTTAAT